TTTATATCCCCCCAAACTGTGCAGCATCAGTGACCGCTCTGCCAGCCTGTGCCACATCAGTTTGAGGAGGTCAAGTCAAGCAACTGGCAGGCTGCTTCTGGCCTGGTCTCACCGCAGGGGGAGCGCCAGTTCAGGGCCAAACCTTCAGGCCTGCAGCCTGCTCTCCCAGCAGAGGAACGCACACTTCACTGGCTTTTTACGGGGGGCAAATCAAGGAGCTGCTGGGGCGTGGGGCTTTCAGCTCCATCCTGTACCCTTTAAACCCCTGGGAGGTGTGTGTGGGTGTATTTGGGAGCGTCCTTGACCGGCTCTAACTGTCAACTAGCCAGTCAGCTCATAGGAAAAGAGGGGTGACAGAGGCCATGAGGAGAGGGGAGAAGGAACAGGGGAGGAGAAGAGATGGATGACAAAAGGTTAGGTGGGAGCTATCCTGGGAGAAGGTTGTCCAGCAGCTTTACTCTGCGAAGTGAGACTGCGATGTTCTGGGCTGCAAGCGAGCTGTGGAGGTATTTTGCTCCTTTTTCTACAGTTAAACGTAAAAGCTTTAAGAACTAAGCAAATCAAATTGCAAATCGATGCTCATTTGATGCATTTGAGGACTTTGAAATTAAGATGTGTATTTTGTCCATTTGTATTCCTGTTCCTTCAAAACTTTACTCACAAGATGAAAGATTTCATTAACAAAACTAGAAAATCTCACATTTTCTTCTGCACCCAACAACCTGTTACTGAAGCCTCAATCAATGATAATTCTTTTGGACTCTGTGCATGAAGCTATTTACTTTTCATAAAGTTTAGACGCATATTTTCTCAACCAGACATCGAATATGTACCTTGAAACTTCCAGATTTGTTTTTCAGTACATGTCAGCCAGTAAAGTGTTGATTCAGTGTTACGCAATTTACTTAGTACCTCCAATTAACATTTTTAAAACCTTCAAAAAGCACAAAGAGAGACTAATAAAGACTGCTTTAAAAGATCACAATCAATTCTTAGAACAAAATCTAAAGAAATTAAGCATCAATTAATGTTTTGTAACTGATTGCATTTTTATAAGTGCAGTTTTTTTTTAAATCATGTGGGCCCCATGATCCAAAGCACTCAGAACATTGTTAGGTTTAGTGGAGGAATACTTGTTCCAAGTAGAAGCAGGTTCAAATTACTTTTTTCTCTTCATTAATGAAATCATGAATCCAAAACTCTTTTTTGCAATTGCTATGGCTATTTAATTCAGATTTTAAAAATAATTTTTATGATCCAAAACATAATAAATGTGGAAAAAAACTTAACTAATGTCTAATTTTACCATTTTCTCCGAATAAAAAATATAATAATCATAGACTAAATAGATAATAAAATAGTGGAAAAATGTCATAAGACAAATTTGTTGTTCTGGGCAGGCACCTCTCCGCCTACCTCTGAAGCTGTCCTCTTGGGTTCAACATTTTTTCCAACTATGACCTATTTTTTTTTGTCATGTTTTACTATATAACATTAATATTTTTCTCCTTATTACCTCAATTTTGAAAACACCAATCCCTTATTTTTTTATGATGCACTTGATGTTGTCTGAGCTACCTGAAACACACAGAATATGTTCGCTTCCTGTTAGTCTAATAGAGACATTTCAAGTTGCAAGTGCAGTTATGAGAGTCTGATGCTGCGGCTTTCCTAATGCTTGAACGTGTTTGCTCTGTATGTGCGCAGATGTCCATAAATGCTTGTTTATGTGTGTTTCTTAGCATGCAACACCAAACGCCTGCCGGTGGTTGTCCATTATTGAGCCTTTGAGAGGAGAAGAGGCTGATAAATTCAAACTCTTTATGTAATTGTCTTTTGCATCTGAATACAAATCCCCGCTGCTTATGATTCATCATATTTATTTTTTTATTTCCTCCAGCAACATCTTTTATTAGTTGTGCACTCGGTGGCGAGATTTAATTTCTGCAGGAGGGGGACAACAGTGTCGGCTTGATGATTATTATTGAAAATGTGATACTACAGAGGCTGAAATAAAATCTATAGTGCATTAAAGTGACAGATTAGGAGGGGAGGAAGGTTCATTTACAAGTGTTAAGACATCAGCGGCTAATGCCCTGCAACGCCAAATAGCAATCCACCCTGCTCTCCACTCTGCAGGTCTATTTGAACGGAACAGCATGAGGGGAATGTATGCGTGTGTGTGTGGCTGTAAGACGAGTGAATGTGTGTGTAGTTGACTCAACAGGGAGCCTCTAGTGGAGATATTTGAGCATTGCTTGAAGATAGGAAGTTATTATAAGTCACAGTGCCAGAGAGATGAGATCCTAAAATTACTCAACATAAAACTGTGAAAATTATCTCCCCTGTTGCCTGATTATTCAACATGTTTTTAGGAAAACAGGTTGATGTAGAAGAGGAATGTTTTCATGAGCTTATTTTAGGTAGAGTTTGTCATGAATAACTAATGAAAAGAAATGGTTTTTTTCTAACTATTTTTTTATTTTTATCTCATTCCTGAGCAGATAGAATAAATTATCTTCTGGAATGCATCTGTGACGTGTCCTTGGGTCTGGAGTTCTTTCGGGTCCTTATCGAATGAGACACTTTCGTCCAGACGATCCAGGGGGAAATCATCATTCTCTAGATTTCAACCCAGCTGCAGCTGACAACTAACCTCTCATCTCTTGCGTCAAACGCTGTATGTGGTATCAGTAACTGAATTTACGACATTCTTCTCGGCTGATTCCACCATTCTCCGTTTAATGAATCGTTTCCACATTAGTGCACAAAGACCTGAAATCTTACCTTGACTTGTACAAACCTAGTTTTCCGACCAGACCTTCTGCACTGCTCTGCCAGCTCCTGGTATTTTCCTTCTTTCCTAATCTAAAACAAAATACACCTTTAAACAAAAAATTAAGACATTTTACCGTCTTTCATTGCCATAAGGCTCAGCAAAAATCACACTCAACAAACTCGTTATTGGACAAGTAAAATGAACAAATAAATTTGGCTTTCTTCATCGTTTTTCAGGAGACCCTCATCTCAAATAAGTTGTAGCAGTAAAGATTCTGCCAGAACAAGTGTTGTGTCTCCAGCCATGAAGGACTGACACTGCGGCAGGTCAGTATAACTATTTGATTTCATCCCTCTTTGGTCCCATCAGCAGTAAGAGGAGGAGTTTCAAGAAGGAAACACAAGGCAACACTTGCTCTCTTTTGACCATCAGGGACACAAAATGTGCAACCATTCATCTATTATTTTAATTTACCAAAAATACCTGAGGCTGAACTAGTTTGATGTTTATTTTATAATCAAGTGGAACCCTGACTTTGTCATTTTGATCTAAATTACTCGTCTAGTAATCATAACCATTTATAATTGCTTAATGCAATTATTTATAGTTCTTAATAGCCAAACATGACTCAACAATGACTTTAACTGATGACATACTGTTGCTGAATAAAGTTGTCTTAAATCCCTTTAAATGTGTTTGTAACTTTAGATTACATTAGGATGCAATGTTTTTTAAAGATTGGAAATGTTAATGTCAAATCCTTGAGCATATGTTTAATGCATAAATTAAAATGTATTACCCATGTGAAAAAGACAAACAACAGCGAGGTTTCATTATGATAAACCACCCGGAAAATTTGCATCTTTAAATACTTATTCATTAAAAAGAGGGAATAAAGTAAAGCTGGCGATATAAATTAATAATTGATCAATTGATAAATATCACAGTGATTTATATTTAAGTATTCAACTTGCATTTAAATTCATGTTGCATGCTTTTAGCACATCAGACTCAGGCAACCACTTGGACAAGTCCATCTGAAGGAGACAGACCCCTGCATCATTCTTCCAGTCAGATCCAATTGCTTCACGCATAGAGAAGCTAATTCTCACTCTTGGATGTGAGACTTTGTTGCAAACCACTCAAGTTTATGCTTAAGGTCACTAAAAAAATATCAACACATGATCTGCACAAAAGCAAAGACGAGACCTTGAGATTTCCAAATAAACAGATGGGAATACAATAACCTGTTGTCTTTTTGAATTTGAACAAAATTTCAGTCTTTGGACTTTTGCTTAAATGGAAATTGGAATTACCAAGAGCTACTGGGAAAATGGGCTCACTGTAGCAATTCAAAGGCTCCAATACTGGTTTGTCAAGCCCAGTGAAAATTATGACAATGGACAGTTGTGAATCACCTCCAAGCGCATCCTCACTAAATGACTGAATAACAATGAAGGCACAAGTAGAGCAAGATGAAATTAGCTCTAATGATATAATGGCTGCTCTCTTTAGAGCTGACATGTTGAGACACTTTGCAACCGGTCAAGTCGCATTGATTTTCATCCGGGGTAGAAACCTGATCTACACTCAGTCCTCTTTAACTGACTCGTCTCTCTCTCAGATGCCCCCAGATATTTATGTCTGCTGTCTGATTCTGCAGAGCGGGGACTTAATCAAACCCAGAGTGAGGTCTATCAGTATTTAAGTCTGCTGCTGGAGAGAAAAAGAAAGATAAAGTGAATGTAGAAGCGAAGGAGTAGAACAGTGAAAGACTGAGCCACAAAAGGCATAGACACAATATCCAAACATTTCAATTAACTACAAATGTATCATCCAGTGTACAATACCTTACAAAAACTGTCAGTGGCTTTCTGCTTTGCTATAATAATACTTATATCTTCAAACTGCTTCCACCAGATAATTTCACTCAGTTCAAACTCTCTAAAACTAGAGTGTTGGTTGTAAAACAAGTTTGAACAAAAGTAAAACTTTTAAAGCTTTAAATAAGCAGCAAAAATGAAATCCAGCTATATTTCCCTCTGAGATCAGTGTATTTAATACATGCTCATGTTGTGAGCTTGTGCATGTTGGTATTTTCTTGTCAAGTATAGCAATTCCACCCAAACTAATCACAAATAAAGAATGGGATTCTCCACAGACATTAGCTTTAAGTTATTAGACTTAGAGTTTTTTATTAGAATTCAATGCTTTTAAGAAATACAGTGTTAAAAGTGACGTTAATTTGTATTTCGAATCATTGATTGTAAATTTAATATTTCAAGAAATTCCTTGAAAACATTTGACACTTCAAATGTTTAATGGTTGAAATGAAACACAGAGATACAGAATTATCAAAATAATGTTTCCTGACACTAAATTTTCTTTGCTTTTCCATTTCTCTGTTAAACACTTGTTAAATTACAGAGCCAAAGGTCACAATCCTAGCAACTGTAACAAGATGATTTTCTCTTTAAGTGCTAACAGGGGTAAGTGTCGACCATTCCTCCTCCGCAGTGTGGTCTGAAAGGGAAAAGAAAAAACATTCAAACTGTCAAGATATCACTTTTAACATGTTTGAAAATTACAGGACATGAACTTCCTGTTGAAGCCCTCTCTCTCATTTTCAACCTTCACTGAGACCATTCAGCTGCCACCTGATCTGCAGTCATCCAGAGTGTAATTGTGTGATCTGATTGAGATTTCTTTACCGTGTTCCTCCATGCTCCGCTTTCAGTGAGCTCTCACTGATCCATATTAAATCTCTAGGTCAGCTGGGCAAAGCTGGAACACTCCTGCAATAGAAAAGCTTGTTTCATACATTTCCTCAAAATATGATATAGTTTTCCTGATGAATATCAGGAATGGCCATTTCCAGCAAATTGTATTATTAAAAATCATGGTCACCAACAAATAACAAATTTATTATTTCACTTACTATTGTAAAGTTTTGGATTTTTTCCCACTAGTTCCCTTCTTCTCATGCACCCAACATGCACATAGAAGATGTCACAGAGTGCCCAAAGCCTATTTGTTTTCAATTATGTAATGCTAATTGCTTATCTAACGTTAACATAATCTTAACATGTAATGCTAAGCAATATTTTATGTTGCTAAATAAATGTCAGCTTAAATAAAACAAGAAATTATAATGAAACTGTTGACAATGATCCTGTTAAAGCATATCTCAGAAATGGGGAAACATTAATTTATTACGTTTGTACTACTGAGTGGGGATCTTAGGAACTTTTTGCAGTTGTGATAAGATGATTAAAACAATGTTTAATACCATTTCATGTATTGCAATAAAGAAGTGTCATCATGCCTGCCTCTTTTATTGGCTGAACTGTGAGGAGGTTGATACACTTTCTTTGTCCAAAACAGTTTACTTGTTGACACATATAAAAAAGTATTGACCCTTGGATGTTTTACTTTTTGTTGCTTTTACAAATCAGTCGTGATCAACAAAACTTGGCTTTTTTTAACAGCAAAATTTACAAAACACATTAATGCCAAAGTGAAAACTTATTTCTACAAAATAATGACAATCAAGCAAAAATATTTAACTTAAAATAAGCGATAGCATTCAAACTAAACTCCTTTAAGCTGGAGTATGTAACTTTTGTAAAAAAAAAGAAAAGTTTACAACACATAAAACTGTCACTGTTGTGACAGTTCTCACCTGCTCAACTATAGCTGGAAAGTAATGAACATTAAAGGATGCAAATATAAAACTATTATTAGTATTTTTTTGCATACACACAAAAAGGAAGTAGCACCAGGTATCCGCTTTCACATCTCTCATCACACTGAATCAGGCAAACATCCACAAAAGGTGATGTGAGAACAAAGAGGGAGGCGGAGGGAAGCCATGTCTGGAGGGATTTGGGAACGCTGAGCTGACTGTCAATGTCTGAGTGTCACACATATGCTAGTTGCTGGGACCTAGCAGAAGTAACCTTATCTAAAAAAAAATAAAGAGTACACAAAGACTTTTGTTTTAGATAAACAACAACACTGAGTTCACAGCTGGTGGGGGCATTGGTTTCACATATTGCAGTCAACACTTAGTCTCAATTACTTCCATGGCGTATATATATATATAAATAAAAGGACGAGCTAACCTAATCAGAAATCAGTATGTGAACCCCTGTCATCCCTGAAGAATTCAGCTCTTAGATCTTCTTTGTCTTTTGTGAGGCAGGGAAGTGACTGGGCATGTGGAGGTCACAGAGCTCAGGCCTCATCAGCAGGGCTAATTTGATTGTGGAGTGACAATGGTTAGTGCAACCAGGCTGATGCTTGCCTGCTGACGAGGCGCATAATAATGGGCCGGACCAGAGTTGCCTTGCGCAGGAAGCACATACTGCCAGGAATACACTGAGCAGTGAAAAATGATTAAACCTAATGTGAAAAAGCAACATAGGTTTTGAAACAATCAACATGCTCTATTACTAAAGTCATTTTCTTCACTTTACTTCATAGACATTTTTTTGCAAACAATTATATTGTAATTGTAGAGAAATGCTGTTTATTTTGTACTGTGATTTGTGAGTGTCAATGCATTTGCATTAGCAGTGGTGTCACATGAGAAAATTTGGAATATTAATCAGAAGTCTGGCAGCAGCATTTTGTACAGACTAAGTAGTCTAGGGAGTTTTTGTCAGCTTATTAAACCAGTGTAAGATTTGGAAGAACAAAACAAAACAATAAATCTACAGTAGCCTGCCCAAAAAAATATTTGAAAAAAAACTTTACCAGACGTCCATTCTATATTCTTGCTGAAGCCTATGCATTAGTTTAAAGATAAATAAATAAATGTTGTGGATAGCATGAGTGACCTATAAAAAATCTATATTTTCTAGTATTTTAGCAGTAATAGTTCTTGAATTTCTCTTGTATGGCAGTATTTGAAATGGAATGTGCTTCTAATATCTGCAGACTTCAGAACTGTATTTCTGTAAACATATCTCCAGGCAGTCCTGTACTTTCTCATGTTGAAAACACAAACTTGTTACTTTTTTTGATGCCATTCTAAGGACCATTGATTGTTTTTTTTTGTTTCTAACATTGTTCAAGCATAGAGTTGATCATTTTCAAAGATCTAGCTGACATCTTTCTTTAATGTTTTTAAATTTCCTCTTTGTTCCTCTGCCTTATCTCTGTAATATACCTCTTTCTAGTGCAAGTGGACGCACATTTAGAGAAACAGCAGGTGGTGTGGTGCGGGATAATTACCAAGAGTTTGGAGCTCCCAGGGAGCCTGTGTTTCTAAGTAGGAGGAACTTAGTACAACACATCATAAATACAGCTAGTATTCTGTAACAGTACGTTTAACCAAGGAAATAAAAAATGACCTTTTGTTGCCACCAAAAAAGCAAACGTAAGAAAATGCATTTTCCAGTCCTTTTTTAGCTCTACTGGTACGTTTTTTTTGCACATTGATATTCTTTCACACGACTAAGAATAAACACTGTTTTAGTGAGCTCTACTCATGAACTAAGACAATTCCTCATACTTTTTACACAGGGGTATATTTATAAATGTGAATATAAATGTATTTATTTATCTACAAGCATGTTAAAATTACATAAAAGAAATAAAGGATTTTTTACATCAATATTTTCTTATGACCATAATACAGTCTAAACAAACGTGGATGATGAAAAGCTGCCACAGTCAGTAATAATTCATGGAGTCAAGTTATCTTCTGGTGTTGATCCATCAAGTCCAATGACAGTGCAACCATCTACCTAAGAAATTTTAGAGCACTTCAAGCTTCTCTCTGCTTACAAACGTCTTGGAGATGCTGGTAGGAGGTGCAAAATATGTGCACAGTCAAACATACCAATACCAGATTACTGACTGGCCAGCAAACTCATCTGCTTCAAACTCCTTTAAAAAACCATGGACTATTGTCAAGAGTATTCTCTGAGGAACACCAGACCCAACACTGCAAATGAGATGAAGGGCAAATCTTGCTTTTACCACCTCTCAAAAGACTATGCTATGCTGCATTAGTACAATTTATGGTAAATGTAACAGGTGGCACAACAAGGTTTCACACCCTCCTTATGCCCTAAACTTCCACAAAAGGGAAGCTGCCAGGGTGGCAGCTAAGTGTCAATTTCCTGGTTGTGTGACCAGGTGTGTGTGTTGGGCCCATGTGCTCCATTATTTGGTGACTGTGGGCCACACTGTTGATGTTCTGGTAGTAGCATTGCCTGGGAGTGTGGCTATTCAACGCTGCAGGGCAACACCACATCCTTCGGATTTGACCTTGAGTGTTGGCTTATGCGTCGCAGTTCAATCACTGCTTCCTGCTGTCCTTTAATTTTGGATTGTTTGTTTTCCCTTAGAATTTGTGAGGGCGGACTAACAATTTCCCATTTAAGGGTACGGCCTGGCGCCGGGGCGTTTCTTCAGCTCTAATACTCAAAATTCACTCAGTGTGTAAAGACTCACAGACATATATGAGTTTCACTTTTACAATTGAATTGAAAAGGAAATTACATTTTCTATGGTGCTCTCATTCTTTAAGATGCACTTGTTCAAGCAATAGATGTCAAGAAAAGAGGATAACACATTGTGACCAGAAAGACCCCACTGTAAATCGGTCAGCATATCCGAAGGAATTACATTTTGTCTACTTTGAATGATCTAAATTAACAATTGAGGCCAACAGAAACAAATTCTCTGATGAACAAGTAGCACAGCCACAGTGACACCCTGACCCAGCTGAAGAGGAAGTGGTTTAGGTGAGAGCTGAGCCAACAGCAGCATCCGGTTGCCCAGTTGTCCAAGTTCCATTAGCCGAGAAGGGCCATCAGTGGGGGATTAGGCAGCAGGCCCTTTTAATCCTCATCCAGTGAGAGATCCAAGCCCTCATCTCTCCCCCGCCATCCACAGCCAGCTCTTTGAGAATGAGCCAGAGTCTCCGACGAGGCCACAAGCTTGGCCAGAGCCCTCGCATCTCAGGAGCCTTCGATGCTCTTCGCTTTAGCCTCAGCTGCTGGAGATGTTGTCCCTAATTAACAAGGGATTAAGCCATCATCTCAGCTTGTAATACAGCCTGGATGGGAATTCCAATATGGATGCTGGGGGAGACAGGGGAGGAGGGATTGGACTGGTTAGAAAGAGAGGGAAAAAACTGGTGTCGTTTAGCAGCTCAGTAAATTACTCTTGACCCGTAGGACTGAGAGGAGTCTATCGGTATGGCAAGCCGGCTGGCAATTACAACACCTCAGGCATGCCAAAAGTTTTATTGAGTGGAGGGTGGGGACAAGATAGGGGTGGGTGACAGGGGTGACTGCTGCGTGTATGTGCATGAGATCTGTGTCAATGAACAGAGTGGGAATGGAGGGGGGGGGGGGGGGGGTAATGGTCTTTTAATGTATTACTTTCTGTCTGGACTGGAATTGTTTGCATTTGGGAGAATATTGACATAATTATAATGAAAATTCAAAAAAAAGGTTGAAACTGGAGTAACACTTCTTCCCCCTAAGATCCACATGAGGCACAAGGTTCATTTCATTGTTTGGTGGGAAAAAGAAAATTGCAATTTCACTATTTCTCGTTTTCTTTGTTATTGATCATGATTTTGAAAATTCCTAATAAAAGTGCAATGTGGAATTATATCATTCTAATATGCAGTGGATACAGTTTTATTTCATTGTACTTCTTTACAACAATAACAGTAGTGTTGCACAAGGCTAGTTAGTGTCACTACTAACTCATGATCACATAGCTGTACTAAACAGGAAGTAAAGGCTCAAACTAATAGCCACATTTTTCA